AGGGGTTGTTGTACATTTCTGCTATTATTTTTGTGTAGTGTGGGCTGGTGAGGCGGTATGAGTCAAGAAGGATGAATTTGCAGTTGGAGACCCAACAGGAGCAAATAGGAGAGAGATCAAGTGAGGAAACTGGCATGTGGAAATAACTGCAGGTTTTGGAGATCAGAACAGGTATCAGTGAAAATAGTTCGACAGTGGTGCTGAAATCCAAGGGGCTCAAAAAAGGATTGTGTATTCTCATTCTCCTCCCTAGGACAGAACTGTCCCTAGAATTGAAAGCACAGGAAGAAGAAGCTGCATGAATGAGGGAATGAAACAGTTAATATCCCTTTGAAATTGTCTGTATAGCACTGTGTATGCATAGTTTGTTAAACTAAGGCCACTGAATATATTAAATATCATTATAAATGCAAAATGTATGTACTTGTAAGTAAAATTCCTGTCCCTTTGCCCCACCTTCTGACAAGGGGTTAAACATAAAGAGTATGCCAAAGCAAAAGTATTGCATATTTGCCAGTGGGGGAAATTGAACTATGGAAAAAGAAAACAAAATAACATTAACATTAAGTTCAGTAAATACATCTTCTCCCACCATGTATGGAAGAAACATTAAGGTTTGTATTTAAATAGAAGCTCTCCAGCATTATTATGGGGGTCAATATGCTGACTCTGTAAACTGTTTGGAGAGGCTGTAAAGCACTATGAAGTGGTATATAAGTCTAAGTTCTATTGTAAGTCCTATTATAATTCCAAAATGAATCTTGTAATGCTAGGCCAATTCATACAACTGTGAAGGAGATCAGGCAACAATTGCATATTATGAAGAGCCTTCCAAGGTGCACATATTCCAGCATATAATTAAAGCAAATCTATTAATTAGAGTCAGGGACTGAATGCCATCCATCATCCATAATGGTTACATTCTTATTTTGTCACATAATTCCAGCTGCCAAAGGAGCAGAATTTATTCTGCCAGCCTATTTTTAAGCCATGTTTCCCAGCTAGTCTCTCAAGGAAGTAGATAATGTTATTGGATCACTTGAACTGCAACCTGCCTGCTGGAATTTTCTCTCCCTCTCTCTGGCTTGGGTCAAAAGGGTTTCCAATTATCCTATCCCAGAATGGGTATTTTGCAGCCTGCAGGCCACATCTGGCCCTGTCTGGCCAGCGGCAGCAGCGAAAGGACAGTGGCAGTGGAGGGGGCAGCAATGGTAGCAGGGGCAGAGGCAGTGGGGGGGGAGTGTGAGCCTGCCACAACACACCCAATTTTCATGTGGCTCCTTGGGAAAATCAATTGTACAGCCTTGCCCTATCCTGTCAATAATTTCTGAAATTAACCTCTCTCTACAGCAGATGAGAGATAAGGAGCTGTCTGGGGAGCTGACCAGTTCCAACAAATACAGGAAATCAGAAGTCATTCATTTTCCCCCTTTTCTTTAATTTCTGCACCTTTGTCTTCACTCTTTTCTTTCTTTTTTCATTCTTCGTTTTCTTCATTCTACATATTAGTTCTTGTTAATTTTTATTTTGTATTAAAATTATAATAAAAAATTATATATAAAAATTAGTTGCCAAAGTTGGGAAACACTGCTCTGGGTATACAATTTAATAATAATAATAATAATAATAATAATAATAATAATAATAATAATAATAATAATAATAATAATGATGATGATGATGATGATGATGATGATGATGATGATGATGATGATGATGATGATGATGATGATGATGATGATGATGTTATTTTGAGAACATACCACAGCCAAAATCTAAAACCCCAGCTACAAGTACTTTCTATTATTTCAAAAATATATTTCCTAGGGAGGTGTGTGTGTGTGTGTGAGTGTGTGTGTGTGCGCGCGCGCGCATGTGTAGTTCATATTTAGTCAAACTGGTGGAGAACATTCAGAAACTCTTAGAAGAAACAGATTATCTAGATCTGTTCCCCTTCCAGTTTGGACCTGTCTTTGTCACAGAAATGGTCTTGGTCACCCCAATGGATGAACTGCACTGGGAGAGAAAATAAGAGAGTAGTAGGCTCGGATGTCTCAACAGACTTGCTGGTATTGACAGTAGCATCCTTTTGCAGTTCCTGAAGGAGATGGAAATTAGAGACCTGTCTTGTGTGGTTCTTAACTCTTTGGGTGTTAGCCAACTTGGGTGACAACATGGGAGACATGATGGAACTTTGCAGGAGCCCTAGAACAATGCCCAAGAAGGAAGAGAAAGACCTCGAAGTGAGGAGATCTCACCAGTTCCAGTTGAAGAAAGAAGAAAATGGAGAAGAAAGTTTAAGGCCTGAGGGCAAAAATGCTCATTACTGCAAGGCAAAGAGAACTATTGATTAAATATGTTTCAGCGGCCATCTCCCAAGATCATCCAGAAACCAGGCCAAGTGTCTTTTAATTCTGAAGAGTAGGAGAAAAAGGCCCAAAGTGTAAACTCTTGGGCAGAGATACAGTATATACAGCCTCTAACTGCTTTGTACTGCAGTGGACAATCCACTATTGTTGAAAATTCATTTTAGCTTGCAGTAAAGATTTTAATCAAATTTGTGATTCCTTGATCAAGTTTTCCTGAATGGTAAATTTAGGGCTAAGTAAATGGAAATCTGTGATTTACTGTTGAGCCCAGATATGAAGCCTGATCTCATGCACTGGGAGAAGTTTAGGGAATAGCTTTATATGTGCTCTTTGTAATTGCTCAGCACTCTTGAAAGATAGTTGTGGATTTTTGTGTTTGTTTCTCCTTGTCAAGTTCATTGCAGTTTGAAAGTTATGGCTTTCAGTTCTGAGAAATAGCTCTCTCTCTCTCTCTCTCTCTCTCTCTCTCTCTCTCTCTCTCTCTCTCTCTCTCTCTCTCTCTCATTTTCCCTCCCTCCCTCCATCCATCTCTATTATATCTGCTTGTAGAATGTCCTAGGTCAGAGGTCCCCAACCTTTTGACCACCAGGGACCGGTTTCACGGAGAGAGGTTTTTCCGCAGACTGGAGGGTGTATGGTTTTGTGTGCTGCCTGCATCTCGCAGATAGTACTTTGCTTGTTTGTGCGGCCTGATTGCTGGCATGCTGCGGCCTGGTACTGGTCCATGGACTGGGGGTTGGGGACCCTTGTCCTAGGTTCAGACCAGAGTACCAACATTTTAAAAAAATGATGAGGTAGCAGGGAAAAATAAGGTTTTCAGGGTATTCAAATGATACGAGCCTAAGGACATTTACAGAGTGGTTCCACTTTATAAAACAATTAAATCACCTAGTCCAGCATCAAAGAACCTTCACTCTTGTTAGATATCGTGCTTCATAAAGCAAACTTCTAGTTTTGATTCAGACCTTTAACATTTAAACAGTTAGGAGACTGGTGTGAACATCTCTTGGCTGTTAGGATCAAAACACGAGCAGAAGGCTTCAATATTTGGTCTAAAGATGAGTCTGAGATTCAAACCTGAGGCCCGAGTCACAAGTAGATTTTTGAAGAGTTGGATAGTATCTCCACTGTCCTTTTAAAAATTCCTAGCCAATTCTAAGTTTTGATATAGAAAAGGGAGAAATAATTGGATAAATGGGAAGTGATCGTACAAAATGCAATTTAAACATATTTTTATCTTGGAAGTTATATCTTGTTTGTACCATTTTTTCTGAACGTCACTCAAAGATTAAGTGTGGCCTTCAGCCCAAAAAAGGTTACCCAACCCTATGTTATGATTTAAAGCTCTCCTTTCTGTTTATAGGCTACTCTCCTGGAGCAAATACAGTATGCGTATAACAAGTGTTTTTTTAAGCCCCTTCTCACAAGTGATCCGGCAAGAATTCTCAAGGGGTCAGTGAGCATTTATCATTACTCATCCTGCCATATACCATATTAAGACCTACACTAGACATGTACAAAAGAGCATATACTCATCACATGTCCTTAGCTACATGGATCTATTTCCTTGTTTTCATAATATTTACCTCAGTGCACTTATTTCCAAAATATCTAATTCCAAGCAAACTATTAGTTAATTGTATAAGAAAGGAGAAGCCATAGATATTTATTTATTATCAAATTTATATAACCACCCATCTCATATATGTATCTCTGAGTAGCATACACAGTTTAAATAAGACAATTAAAACAACTAAAAAGCATAAATAATACTCAAACCGTGGAATACATTCAAAGTCCTAAGTACAATATAATAATTTTGTGGGGTCCCTATTTACATGGAATCCCCAAGTTTGCTGACAAAACCAGGTTTAAAGAGATTTCAAGAGGGTCAATGGGGTTAGGGCCTATCTCATTTTAATGGTGGTGGTGGCGGCAATAGAGTGATTATAAGTCTGAGTTAACAGGAGGAAAATAAAATATTTCAAGCTTTTGACTTGGAATAATCAGAATAGTTTAAGTACAAAAAACCAAGAACCAATTCCTCCTCATAGTGATCAAGTATGTTTCCAATATTTTTCCTTTAATTAGGATCACTCCTTTCTATCTCCTTGGTTATACTTTTCTGAGATTTCCCAGAATATTTAAAAACAATCTTATAGATATAAGAGTTCCACAGATTTCAATGTAAGTTGAATATAGGGCCAGATTCTTTTTTCTCTCCGACTTAAGAAACACAATTTGAAAATCAATAAAGTTAAAAAAACCCCACAAGGTTTTCTATATATGTTACTATGATGCTTCATCTAAAGCAGGCATGTCAAACTCGCGACGTCACATGATGCCACGTGACTTATCGGAACTTTCCCCCCATTGCCGGCAATGGGGTGGGCACGGTTTTGGTGTGACGCATCCGGCCCACGGACCTGCAGTTTGACATGCCTGATCTAAAGTGAGAGATATAGAATTGATTTCATTATTGAGCTATGTTCTGATTTTTGTTGCAGTGCACAGCTGTATCTAAATTTCTGAAATTTTTGAACATAAAAGCCAACACTACATGTTATGATGTACATCAGAATAAAATAGCAACAATTCACATAATGATTGAATAATAAACATAGCACTTGCCTGGAACAAAGCTTCCCTGGACCACCTCCTTATAAGCCCACCAGCCTTCATGGATTTTTGGTGAATTCTGCTGAGCTAAAGAAAGAAAAACAAAGCAATAAAAACAGAGCAATATTTTTTTTTAATTTTCATGATACAACAACTCTTAGTCTTCTATACAACATTGTCTACACAATACAAAATAGGTCAAAAAGTTTTGTATAGCTTCTAGAAGAGTTGATGGAGGCCATGCTCTAATTCTTAAATTGGATAGCAAGTCTTGTTTGTATCAATGAGGCTTATGTACAAAGAGAATCTCAAAAGTAGTCTTCAAAGACCTATTTTCCTTTGATTTAACAGCTCTCAACAGACTACTGAAAGCAATTACCAAAGTGCAACAAGATACAAATTCATGATGTATTGACAAAAGCAAATACTAAACTGCCCAACACAAGCACGCAGACAAACCAAGAGTGGGAGATAATTAATCAATGGAAATGGTACCCCAAATTTTGGTCTTCAATCAATAAATAATGAGAATGCACAATAAAACATTAGATGTTCATTTTATAGAACATAAACTTCTGAATCTAAACCAAACATTTATCAAAATTGGATATATTTATATACTGACATTATCTTTAAAGAAACTGCAGTCTTGTATTAGAAGAAATGTTCTATTTCTCAAATCAATATTATTGACTTGTATATGATTCAAAATTTCAACTTCCCTCACCCCCAAAATCCTGAGATTATTGCAACCAATATATTATATCTATCTATGTATGAATGTCCCTATGCTGGGTCCTTAATGTTCTCCAAGTTTGAGTTTCCTGTTGGAAACATGTTATTACCAGACTAAATAACATCATTACTGCTATCTCCAAAGTCAGAAAAAAAAAATAACCTAGCAATTCAATTCTCAGATATGTGAATTTATCACTATTATTCTTATGCTTTGTTCATATGGAACTTTGGGTGGATTTAAGAAATTGAAAAGCTGTCTGATTGGCACGGTTCTCATTGAGTGTTCCGGAATGCTCGTTAAAAATGCAAGACACAAATTAACTACATAAAATAAATACAGTATTGACTCTTGAGCCCGACTGGTGAGCTATAAATGCTGATATCATGAGCAGAGTATGACAAAAAAATCATAGTGAAATGAATGCTTCCATTTGTTATTGTAATGTTAATGAATGACCATGGTGGTGCAGTGGTTAGAATGCAGTACTGCAGGCTACTTCTGCTAATTGTCAGCTGCCAGCAGTTCAGCAGATCAATTCTCACCTTCTCAAGGTTGACTCAGCCTTCCATCCTTCCCAGGTTGGTAAAATGAGGACTCAGATTGTTGGGGGCAACATGCTGATTCTTTAAACTGCTTAGAGAGGGCTGTAAAGCACTGTGAAGCAGTATATAAGTCAAAGTGCTATTGCTATTGCTGTTCATGCAGTTAAGTACCATCAGCCTTCTCCTACAGCCAGTACAGGCAGTCCTTGACTTACAACCATTTGTTTAAAGACTGTTTGAAGTTACAATGGCACTGAAAAAAGTGACTTACAACCAGTCCCCACACTTATGACAATTGCAGCATCCCCATAGTCAAATGATCAAATTCAGGTGCTTGGCAATTGGCATGTATTTAGGACAGTTGCAACATCCTGGGATCATGTGATTGTCATTTGCGATCTTCCCAGCTGGCTTCTGACAAGCGCAGTCAATGGGGGAAAGCTGGATATGCTTAACAATTGTATTAACAACTACTTAACAATCCGACACACTTAACAACTGCCCAGCTTAGAAACAAAACTTCTGGTTCCGAATGTGATTGTAAGTCAAGGACTACCTGTAATGTCACATAAGTGGAATGTTAAAGAAAACTCATAGCAATGCAATGAATGGCACATTCTAAACTAGGAAATGTTAATAACTGCTAAAGAAAAGAATTACGAAAGAATCACTCTTTGACCTATGTGTCAGGCATTTGTCTTAGATCATACTATAGGTAAGAACACAGATTTATCTGTTCTATCCAGAACTGTCTGGAACGTTTTTCCTATATTTTCAAATAAATATTAAAAATAAACCTTTTCCCCAATCTTTCTGCAAATAGCAATCAGCACAAAAATATAGTTGATTGTTAGAAGGTGGAAAAGATATACAGAGAATTCTGTTCTCATCTAGTACTTGCCTAGTTTTTACAACCCAGATATGGTAGCCATAATCACTATAGACTGTTATCTTACTACCCTTGAACCTTTGGAGGAAAAACAAAGGGGCACATGCTTAGTTCTCACTGTTTCGTATTATAAGTGTTGTTTTGAAATTTGGTCAGTTGCAATATAACCAGGTTTGAGTGTCCCATGAACATCTCTAAATGTTACTATTGTTATTCAGAGTTAAAACCAGGACTGTAAACCTGTGATCTGCTGAAAACCTCCATCCTGTTTAAAAAAAGAAAAATTGGGGAGATCATGTCATTAGGTTTCTCAAAAAGGGAGAGAATATATTTCGGTTTGGAGAAGATGGATAGATTATATTGAGAGTAAATATGGGACTAAAAAGTTTCATTTGGTTTTTGAGTAAATCTTAGAGTATTAATGTAGTTTATATGTTATAATAGGTTATTTAATTTTATCTATAATTGATGTTATAATTATTGTGTTTAATACTAGTATATTAGTTTAAAAGAGAGTTAAAGGATGTTATAGATTTGTTATTCTAATAGTTGATTAATGTTAGATAGAGTATGGTTATTGTATTGTTAACCCTGTGATTGGCTCTGGGAAGTGGGGGGGAGGGAGGGGGGAGTGGAAGGGTGAGTTTTGGGGAGGGGGGAATTATATTGTAAAACTTTTATAAAATTTTCAATAAAAAAAAGGGAGAGAAATTCTCTAGCAATGTTTGTACTAACTAGGGCATAATAAAGATAATTTGGACAATATAACAATTTTTAGATATGTTCCTTAAAATTTTGTCTTTCAATTTTTTTATTAATTACATGCGGCAACATTTTCCATCTTTCTTAAACCTTCCTAAAAACACATACACATAGAAGCAAACCAAATTATAAAATAAGTAAAACTTTTACTCTGCAATATATGTAACTTTTGATAGGGAACACCTAAAGAATATAAAACATTTTACCTTTTTCTTTTATATAACACGAAGGTAATTTAGTGAACAAAATACCTGCTTTCAATGGTATTTTTGCTGAACAAGAGAAGTAAGATTATCAAGTTTTGTGCTAAATGATGCATGACATTGAACTCTATTAGAAAAAAGGTAATTCTGTCAGTGCCATTATACTTATAAAATCCTTATGAGGTCAACAAGCATCAAATTGACTGTAGAAAAAAAAACCCAAACAGACAGTAAACAGGCAGAAAAACATTACATACTTAATCCTAAATCACACTAGCCTGGCAATATGAGATACACATGAATTTACTAAAAGGCATACATATATCCTATAGTTAAGTGAGATGGGTTGGGGCACATGTTCTCAATTAGTGTGCCAGAGATCTAAAAATCACTTAAAATATGGAGGAAGAATAAAATGTACTGTCAGGGCTTGCCTTGAATTACAGACTATGGCAAGAGAACTAGAGCGCGAGGTATCTGCGTGTGGTATTGAAAAGCAAATGAGAAAGCAGATCCCAGGGTACATCATTGTCTTTAAGAAAACTGCACATGAAAAGCATGACTGATACAAATTTGCACTGCGCCAATGTTTTAAAATGAATTCTGATACACCAAGCAGGATTTGACAACATTTCATTTTTCAGACAGACAATGAAGGGGTTGGGGTGCCATGAGAGATAAAAGGTTTGTCCCACCATACACACTCTCTTCCCATTTGAGTAGTGTTTGTAAATTGTACAAAGAAAGTACCCTAATCCACAAATCTGGATTAGCAACTGACAGCTCGAAAACAAAGGGCTGTGAAATTAAAATGAAGCTGCCACACAAATGTTTCTTGTTCAGCCTCCAGTGTGGCCCACACAGCACAGGAGGGCTGTGCTCTTTAATCTCTTGCCCATCTGACAACATGGCACAATGCCTGCCTGCATTCCAAGGAAATCCGACCTTACAATTGGGCTGCTGGTGCTAATTGCCAAGAATGGCTTTAAAAATAGACAGCTCAAATTGTACTGCCCATATCATAATTCCCTTTCATGCCAGCAGAAAATGCAGCTATGACCAAATTGTACACAGCCATCACATTTGAATAAGCAAAGCAAGCACGTCCAACTGCATTATACAAACAGCAATTCGACTATAACTGCTTGGAGAAATATACCCGTCCCACAGGGTTGCATCAAACTGATGACTCCATTGTAGAATGAAGTCTTTAATGAGCTCTGCCACACACTTTTAACGATTTCCCCACTTTGCCCTCACCATCCATGAATTGCAAACACATTTAGCATCCAGCTGAGCTCACAGACAAAAGCTTTAGCCAGACTCTGCTCAACCCCAGTTAAACACTAGCTGAAGCTATCAACTAACCAGCATGATTTCTCTGCCCCAAATTCATCAGTCATTGAATTTGCCTCTCCTTTCCCCAAAACTTGCAAAACTCCATGAAGAAAAAAAAACAAACCTCAACACATTCAATTCATGTTGGTACTATTCTAGCAATGTGGCACAGTGTTCCACAAATTCCCAAAAGCCTGCAAAGCTACATTTGAGGGCTTTCTCAAGTAACAGTCTGTTCAGGAAGAAATGAAGGGCAGCATATCTGAGCACCGTGCAAGTTTTACCTACAGCAGAAGATAGAAATAGAAGGACATTGATTCTCCATGAGGGTTAAGGAAGGAAGTAATAAGATTCTGCATAACATTTACTAGTGCTTTTTAATCAACATGATATGATGGTGTACCACAGCAGACATAAAGTAAAATCATTTTATGACTCAATAACTATAAGTAGATTATTTATTTGTTTGTCTGTTTAAAATTTTATGCTACTTACTATGCTGGGACCTCGGTGGATAGAGGAGGGGGTAAAGAAGTGAGAGATAGGGGGCAGCAGGCTGGTGGATTGCACTGCCCTAGACATTGGCAGTGGGGACATCTGACATTGGCAGTGGG